CCATTCCCATTTTGCCCAAGAGACTTGGCCTAGAGCAACCTCTAAGCTCACCTTTGACTAGCACTGGTCACCCCTGGCACAAGTGAGGACGCATTCAAAGGATAGCTCTTTTTTAATAAGGAGTTTGGGTTTACCCATCCTGATGTGCATCGTCTGTGTGTCCTCTGAGTTATTAGGTGATGGACAAACCCTCTTTTCCCCCACCCCAGGACTCTGGGGCCTGGAGGGGTAGGAGGGATTGCACCAGAGGCCTGGTCTGGACAGAGGGAAACATTGCAGATGGAGCCCTGAGGGGTCACCAAGCATCAGTTTTGCCACATAATCCATCCCTTTACCTGGGGTTGGCCCCGAATCCAGGAAGTTTGGAGATCTTTCTGACTACCGTTATTTTATTTTAACTTTTTATTTCATATTGGAGTATAGTTGATTAACAATCTTGTGATAGTCTGAGGTGTACAGCAAAGTGATTCAGTCATACATATACATGTATCTATTCTTTTTCAAATTCTTTTCCCATTTAGGTTGTTAAATAATATTGAGCAGAGTTCCCTGTGCTATACCTGACTACCTTTATAATTAGGAAAAAAAAAAAATCACAGCGTTACCACCTGAAAGTGCCCCAAGAAATCACCTCATTCTCTTAATTTTTCTGATTGGGAAAGAGTGCAGCTGGCCTGAGGTCACCCACCTGCAGAGTGGCAGAACCAGGCTGGAATCCAAATCTCCTGCCACCCCCAGGGCACGTCTGGAGAGGCAGGGATGGGGACAGGAGTGCCATCCCCAGGCACACCCTGCTCTGCCTCCTACTGGCCTGGGGCCTTGGGCCTGTTACTTAATATCTCTGGGCTTCTATTTCCTCGTATGCAAGTTGGGGCTACCAGCAGTACCTGTAGCCGAGGTTGTTGTGAGGATTAAGTTTAGAAGTTCGTGAGAGGGCAGAGACAATTGCCTGCCAGCTAGTAATTGCTCCACCCAGAGCGATCGCTGTTGCTGTTATTTTTCTGTGCTATCTCAGGCCGCCTCCATCACTTAACTCCTGCTATCAAACTGGAGGTCTGAACTTTGAGACTTTGGAACTGAGGCATCCGTGGAATTTGCTCCCCTTGCTAATCTGGCAAAGTCAACAAACCCTTTCCGTCCAACCTGACGGGAGCCTCTTGGAGATGTTAGGTCATGGCATGGAAGAGTTTGGTGTGAGGACCCAGGGAGCTGGGCGGAGGGAGAGTGGGCAGCCCCACTGGGGGAAAGAGGAGGCTTTCCAGGGGCTGGGGGAGACCAGCTGAGGGTGCAGGAGCCAACAAGCGCTGGGTGGGGCACTTGGCATGTGAACTGAGTGTGGAAGGCCAGGAAGGGGGGTGTGATTGGGCCTTCACGCTAGAAAGGAAGGGGACTGGAGTCGATGAAAAGAAGCATTTTCTGTGGCGCTCAGGAAGGGCCTCTCACTGGGGATTTCCTACCCGGGGCCGCAGGCCTTGGCCGCCTTCCCGGGGAAGGTGGCGCTGGTCATGAGGAGCTTGCACACTGCGAGGCTTCCGTCTAGGGACGGAGGGTGTCCACTCCTGTCTCTGGCGCTGCCGGGCTCCCTGGGCCTTGTTCAGCTGGGAACAAAAGGCTCTTTGCTTGAACCGCACACTTCAGACGTCTCCATGCAAGACAGGGACACTGAGGTCCAGGCGGAAGTGGAAGAGGGGACTGGAGACGATGAATAGTGGGGAGTAGGGGAGGTCAGGGCCTCGCAGGGCGTGCCTTGGAGGCTGAGCAGAGGGGCTGTTTCCAAGGAACAGGGCTTGGCACAGGGTCTAGCGTGGCCCTAAGACTGCAGGCCAGCCCCAGACCACTGGTCATGCCGACGTGGCTGGTCCAAGGAGCTCGATGTGGTCTAAGGCGAAACCTCCTTGGAGAAAAGAATTTCAAAATTAAAAAAAAAAAAAAGAAAGCACAATCAACTCCCTTTTTCTCTTTTTCCCAACCGCAGTCAAAAAGTACTGTATCTGCTATTGAAAAATCACATCTCAGAAGCAGCACCACTTGCTGACAGCATCTGCCAAGATTTCCGATGAGGCTGATGGAAACTCGTTCCATTTTCATGCTGTATAATGAGTAGACAGAGTCCTCGCACATCTGCTCAGGCGAGATAATGATGATATTATTACTAGAAGCATTGTGCTGCAAAGAGAATCTATTTTTTTCCTCTCTCCTACCCCCTGCCTATATCTAGCCTCACTTTCTTTCCACTCTTCTCTCTTTACTGTCCTGTGTCTCTCCGCTTCTCGTGTTTATTTTCTTGCTCTCTCTCTTCCTGTTCTTTCTTTCTTTCCTCACCTCAGTGCCCCACCCAGCTTGTGGAAACCCAGGGGACAAAGTGAGGAATTCTTCTCCTATGGAGGAGGGGCCGCTGAGAAGGCACTGGGGCCAGGGGCTGGCTGCCGAGATCAGGGGAGAGGGGTCTTGGGTCCCTCCTCCGAACCCTGGGGCCGCCTGCATTGGAGGGCCCTCTCCCACTCCCCAGCAAGAGCCCTTCTGCCCCGTCAGAGAAACCTCTGGGCTTGCCCTGTGCCCAACCTCATCAGCAAAGAATCAAGTGAGACAGCAGTGTGACCAGCTCACTTCTGCCAGAGAGACAACAGATGGAAAGGGCTTAATGTATTTAGCATCCAGGAATATTTTGCATCATAACTGGACACTTTCTGGATACGTGACTGATTTACAAAGGGATGGAATTTTCATGTTGGAATATAGTAACAAAAAATCAGAATGTGGGGGGGAGTATCAGGGTCAGGGGGAGCCTTCCTTGTGTTTCTCAGATCATTCATTCATTCATTTTTGTCAACAGTCTCTCAGCACCTATTCTGCAGTAGGGAATGAGCTGGTTGCTAAGGCACACAGATGGAAAGCTATGGTTCCCGTCTCCCAGGGCCTTAAATCTACCCCACGGCTAAGTTCTACCCAACCCAGATATATCTTTGTTCTTGAACGTGCCTCCTGTGTGGAAGCAGGATCCGCTTGGGGCCCCTTCACTATGCAATTACCTTGGGCACCAGTATAAAGATGGAGTGGTATGAATTCCCTCACGTTGATCCATTAATCCATCCGTCCATTTGCTCATCTACCTACCCATCCAACCATACACCCTTCCACCCATCCATCCATCCATCCACCCACCCTTCCACCCAT